AAAATCATCTCATCTCACACTTGTTGAATTTTACTTCAACTTGTCCGTTTCTTTTTAATGCAACACTGACTCTCATCTTTCATTTTGAGTGGGATGTGGTGCACCTGAGTGCATGTGGTTGGTGTGAAAGAAATAGAAGACTCACAATTGTGGGTTCTAGAGAGTGTGAAGGGAAGATATTGTTTAGTAATTTTTCCACCAAAATGTGAGTCCAGAAGAAAACAATGATTCAATGAACAATTGCTATACTTGGTGGGAAATGGTCTAATTTTACTAGGAAATGTGTTTCATTAGAAAACTTCTTTCACTGGTTAGTAATAATGGAGTTATAACAAGGCTAGATGAAGTCTTATACAGTGTTTTTTTTTAGCCTTATTTAATATTAAGCTGTTTATTATCTTTCTTCTCCTCTTCTAGTAAGTTATATCATTTAATGGTTTGGTGTTGGTATTTTGTTATTGATTTTCAATTTCTCTACACGAAAATTGCATCCACAAATTCTTCTTGTTTAACACCTCATATTATATAGCAAATACGAAATTAGAGATGTTACCATCCCTTTATTGATGTTTTATTTATTTATTTATTTATTTATTTAAAAAAAACAATTAAATAGACGTCTTTATTACATGTATAAATAGACTTCTTTGTTAAAGACTATTGTGTGAAAATATATATATATATATATATATTAGCATCTAAGCATTTCTAAAATCTAAAAATATAATATATTTTAACAAAGAATCCATAATTAATAATTTCTACTCATATTATGTCTAATTTTCTATTCCAAAAATAGTTGTAAAATAAGATTTCTATAAAAAATATATATATATATGGTTTTTAACTAAATTTTAGTTATTTTTATAATATAAGTAATTAAAAATAAATTCTATTTTTTTATAACTTTATATTAGATAGATATTAGAATACATTGATTTTGAAGGATTGTCCAAGTATAGTAGGAATATGCTTATTTATCTAAGAATGCATCTAAGTTTGTTCTTTAATAATCTATGAATAAGTCTCAAGTTGGATGGCAAAATGATGTTTAAGTTATGATGTATAATAGCCTCAATTGACCAAAATTTCAAACATGGCAAAATCTCAAAACCAAATAACTAAATTTCATCACTTCATATTTCTAGGATCACTTAAATTATCATATCCAAAATATCACTACTCAAACCTTAATATCCCATCTTATTTGCTTCAATAAATATATAACTTCTAAATGCCACAAAGTAATTTTGTGAAGTATCAAATCATATTTTGGTGAAGTATCAAGTTATATCAAATCAACATAACATATCAACTCAACTTCAAATATTGTGTTTTGTGTCCATTATTTCCCAATCTTTTATGTTATTCCTTTGCTCACTCATACATCTCCAAAGAAGATTCCTAGCACTCTAGATTGTGACAAAGAATGTCATTTTAAGAGAATTGAGTGTACTACAATTATTTTTTGGTTAAAAGATCAAGCAAACTTCCAAAAGTTGCACCATTCAAGAAAGATTGAAGTACGTGAAAAATAGACATCAAAATTTAGAGCACATAGCTATCTACATAAATAAAGCATTGAATGGAAAATATAATCTTTTTGTGGCCAAGATGCTAAATTGACTATGTAATTTTAATGCCAAGTGTGTAACAACTTATAACTAATCAAAAGATACTAACATTGGCATTAATGAAAATGATTGCAAGCGGAATATACATATATATATATATATATATATATCATGGCTGCAAAATTAAAGGACACATGTCTATTCATTAAAAGAATGCATATTTTATACAGTGTAAGACCAAATGTGTTTTTTCTTTGTAAGAGATTCTACAGTTGTAATGGTTACCAATTCACCATTATTATGGCCCAACTTGAACTTGTAGCATGAAAAAAAATGCTATTCAAGAATATTTGGAAGGCCTCATTTCAAGACAAATGTCAAGAGGTATGCAAGGAGGTATACTCGTGGTGGTATATCTGTTCTACACCCCACCTGCGATATACTATTAACAACATTCATTCAAATCTGTAAGTAGACAAGGATTAACACGAATGGCAATTCCATCAAACGCGAAAACTAAATATTGACGTAGTGAATGTAAAAATGGGATCAGGAATTACTTTCAAATTTCTTTCCTGACGAAAATGGTGGTCTCTTAGCCACTTAACCACAACCTAGCATTACATCAATGCAATGTCCGTGATTCTGTGGAAATCGAGCTGATTCTTTACTTCTGGGAATTAGTTTACCTCTTCGGAAATATTATTATAGCAGCCGTTAGACCTTGTCACTCTGTTGCATCATCAATCGTATGCTACATATTTCTTAGGAACTTCCATCTCAAACAGGACAGCAGATCCTATACATTCTGAGTTAGAAGCCTTTGAGACATGCATGAGACCAGTTGAACTGTATGATCTTATTTAAGTGTAGCGCAAGACGCATTTGAGACAGTCCCTTCCGGTGGCAGCCGGTTTACTACGACTCAAATCAACATCGACATACTCCGGCACATGGAAATCTTTGGCATATTAAACCTTTTCGGATATTACATACCTTGCCCCGCAGTGTATACCAGTGCGACTGATGATTGAGGCAGAAACCCAGCTGGAAACGACTTACAGACGAATCCTTTCACAAGAGTTCACAGCTTATTCCTTTTAAGAACAAACATCCTAGAAGTAAAAGCGGCAAGGGCATGGACCTCGGCACTCGCACTGATCAGCTCAATCCTGAGATGTCCACGTTCAACATCGAAAGGTACGCGCAATAACATATCAGTCAGAGAAGTTCATTAAATTTTATCCCTTCACAGTGTTTCCACTTCAAGCGATAGTTGTCGTTCTCATCATCCCAAACGTAATACCGACACTGTGGGCTATGGTCTCACATTGAAGTGCAAAGCCGGAGCAAGGGCTAGCATGACAAAGTGACTGCTAATGACCCAGAGACTCTGAAACTAAATCCCAAGTTCAGAAGCACGCTCACAACGTCAGGGAATGTCGCCAGAAAGAATGCAACGAACAAGCACGGTAAAGAGTTACACTGCATGTACATGACCTAAAACACAACCCTTTTCACTTCAGCAGGGAGAATGATGCCTGGGAGAGCAGACCTCGGCGTCACAGCCAACACTACGCGGATAATACACACAATTCGACCAACTCCACTACACGACTCCTTACTTATAGGGTTTGACTGCGGCGGCTACTTGGCCAGCCCTAAAACGTGAGATGCTTGAAACCCCAACGCCATCGCAGGGAGAGTAAGAAGCGGGGTATTAGCCAGCGTGGCATCACAGGTGCCAGGTCAGCTCATCTACTTCGATGGATATCCGTTCTAAGTGCATATCCGGGTCTCTTCCGAAAACTAGCCACGGTTCCGGGGCCAACACATTTCCATTCTGTGGTCACTCCTCTCCTGGCATCATGTGACTTTTTTGTCTTTTCATTCCATGTGTGCAACATCACATTGGTTGCAAGTACTCCTAAGCCACCTTCACACAACCACACACACTCCATCTTCATCATTTTGTACAGCATATCCTGCTCAAGACCACACCTCAGTTTGCCACTTGAAAGCAAACTAATTCATGTAGTAGCTGTTAAAAACCTTGACTCAAGAAAACTCTGAGTGTCCAAAGTAGCCTGGACTTACTATCCCAAATATCAAAGTGTTAAACTCATGAGACAAGAATGTTCTTAAGTAACACTATGTATAATTTAGTGCAAATTTTATTTTGCATACATATGTGTATATATGTGTATAAAAGTATATACATTTAGAATGAAGAGTATCAAATATGTTAATTTTTATTGTAAAAGTTTTTGGCATTTAATGTATGTACAGAAACTTAAAAGTGGACCACATGTATTCTTAGACTTGTAAAAGAAACACATCTTGCATTTTAAAGAACGGTTTAAGGATTACCAACAATATATGTACACACACATTAGAAAGTTGACTAATTTAGCAAGTTAAATGATTGATTAGTTGTAAAAGAATTTTATTAAGATGTAGAAATCTATAACTTAGATAGATTGTAATACCACGATATCATTGCAGATATTGTGAAAATTTGATATTTTTTACATTCAATCAATCACATATCACATATTGTTGATATACACACACACTCTGGTGGTTAAACCCATTGGCTTTGCCAGCGTTAAGTATGCTTTACGCAGCTAAAAAACACACACACACACAATACACCTCAGCAATCAGTGCCTCCTACTGGCTTTGCGAGCATTAAGTATGCTTTACGCAGCCAAAAAAAACACACGCTCAATATACCTCAGCAATCAGTACCTCCTACAGCTCCAGCCAGTGGGATATTTTGATGCTACATACAGATGTAGGCTGCTTGATTTTTCTATATATGCACATATGTACGTATGTATGTATATATATATACACTCATTTAATACAGTAGAGCATAAAACCAAGTGGGAATCAGTAACAAACAGAAGTTTGACTACTACTGGGGGATTGAATTGCTCTAAGAGCAAAGAGTTGGGCAAGCTCTAAGACATGTGATTTATCATTCATGAATCCCAATTCTGTAACAAGTACATTCTGCACTTTCTCAGGTTGTCATGATCAGCACAAACCCAAGAACTGCATTAGGCATAGAGAGATGCAGTTGTCTGTGATGAATACACCACCTGTCAACTTCATCACAGCAATGACTCCCAAACATGTGATTGCATCAGTTGTGGTTAGTTATGAAGGAAAACACTTGGCACAGGAATTTCATTTATCACAAGCATGCAGCTAGCACTTGCATGATATTCATGGAGTGCTGGAAGTCTAGCACATGTTCCACAGGATCTCATGAATCTTTGGAACAAACTACTCTGAATTTTACATGTGATTATATTGTACCAAGGTTTAGGCAGCACTTACTTGGTTTGGAAAATTCAAAGAACTGCTCCACTCTACATCCCCTGGCTTTTACTACATCAATATTCCCACAATAAGATGGCACTGTAATTTATGTGCACATCATATTTCATGTGCTTACTTAAAGAGAAAATTGTGCTCCTCACAACTGAATTTATTCATCAACTGCCAGTAGTATACGTCCAGATATACCACAAAAGGATCTCTGGAGTACAGAGACCAGTCCCTACCTGTTTAACGTCATTGAAATTGGACCTGAGAGATCAGTGTCAGGATATTCACTGCCACGATTTACCAGGCATTGACCTGAATCAGCAAGGGCCTGACCTGACGGATATCTGTAACACAATCTCGATTCCTCCTCATGCTGTATGTTCTCAAATTAATATTGAAGTCACTTAACCAACACAACTATCATATTACTAGTCTAGTAGTACTTCGAATTCACTACCATGCAAAGAATGAAAAAAGGCATGTGCAGCGCCGTTGATGTAGGGCGACGAATGATGACTTCGCTGCTGTGAAATCTCAGTATTCCTCACTTAGTTCATGGTAAGTTGGACAATGAGTGAGGCTGATGTGGTGAGGGCAATCCTTAAGCATGAGGTTACACGTCGATGTGTAGAAACCATAGTAAGTGCAGCGCTCAAATAATTTATCTGCTGTCGTGGTTGTGCTCGTAATGGATCTTCTTCAATCTTCGACACATGTCGAACTGTGTGATGTAGCTGATCATCCTCATAGGACCCGCACAGATGGCCTCAACCAGGTTTTGTAAGAAGGAATCCGATGGTGAAAATCCACGAGTTAGAATGACAAGAATCGGGCCCAAAACAGGTGTGGTGGTAATGATGAATTTGCCCTTCTTGATGCCGTCAATTGAAATGCTTGCGACTTCTTCTGGAGATTGAGCGTGCTTTCGGTTGTAGAAGGACGCCACTTTCATTCCTGCTGTCAGCTCCTCTTCATTGTCGACTGGAATAGTACCTCATGTTAAACTCTTTTCCATAATATGTTGAAAAATGCAGGCGCAAGGAATCCTTCAAATCGTAACAGTTGATGTTGAAACAGACAAATATTAAGCGGCAGTACACTCACCGTCATCTAGGAAACCCGTGTTTACAAACCCGGGACACACCAAATTCACACGCATGTTGTAGGGGACAAGCTCCAGCCGCAAACTCTCCGCGATGCCCTTGACAGCATGCTTGGTCCCCGTGTACACTCCATTTCCATACAACCAGCACTGAAGAGATTGGAGAAAGGTTAGAATTCGAATCGATTGATATGTAGCAGACAAACTATTATGCTGTACCCTGAAGAGTAAGTCTCTTCACAAGGTTCCTTAAAATACAACAGAACGAGACTCGAGTTTGATGTCATTCCACAATTCGGGTGGTCTAAATTTAGAATTATGATCTAAGCCTTGCTCGGTTCCGCGAAACAAGAAGCTTAGTTCCTCATGGACAAAGACACACACCAGATCCGCAAAAAAACGATTAATAGTAAACAGGTTTAACTTGCATCTTTGTCATGAAGAACGATGACCTTCGACAAGGTTTCTGCATTCATGCGATCTTTTCTTACCAAAGACGCCAGGCTGCCGATAAACACGACAGAGATGGGGTGATCCCGGCTCCGCAACTTCAGCTGAGGTAGTATAGCGTGCACGGGATAAATTGATCCAAGCACATTGGTGTGAACAACTGTGTTGATATCTTCCAAGGAGAAGTCCTCCATGAAGCCGCTCCTAGTAATCCCTGCATTGTTGATCAATATATCGATGGGTCTCCAGCCAAATGATTCCTTCACAGCCGTCGATATGCTTGCGTAATCTCCCACATCTGCTGCCTGCAATTGACATCATCGGCCCACAGTTACTAACACATCATAACACAATCGAAACAACCCTGACGAACAGCCCATTCAGATTATTCGGCTCAATGTTGTGTAATCCGCTATTGCAAAACACATTCTAAATCATTGTTCAGTCGCTTCACCGACAAAAGTTATTTGTCAAAATTCTCAAACACATCACCCCTCAGGGGAGCACCAGTCTTCCCGTACCATCACAAGAACGCGATCCTTGGGAAGCTCCAGTTCCTTCAACAAAGACTTCGCCACAGTTTCCATTTTCTCGAAACTTCTTGCAACAAGAGTCACGTATGCACCTTCACGGAGAGCTTGCTTGGCTACTGCCAATCCAATGCCACTAGAGGCGCCAGTGAGGAATATGTGTTTTCCTCTCAAGTTGGCCATGAATGGTTTCCTCGTCCATGATAACGCCAAAAATGATAACATCGCTCCTATGCCAACGGCAATCCATGCATAATGGATATACATGTCGTGGAAATTTCGGGCAGTTCGCTCGCAAAGGAATATATAATGCTAAAAGTGGCACCCACTATCAGTCTTGCGGTGCATGAAATGTTGCACACAGGCAACGTGAAAACGAATGCTAGTTTACAGGCACACGGTGAGTCTGGAAAAATAATCTTAAAGCCTCCACGAGGAAAAGATAACGCGCCACAGCGATTCCGCTACTGCAACTACACGAATTAGGAACGCAAGGTTCTTGAAAGTGCAAGAGGACTTTTCGCCAACAACGAAACGCGCCAAGCACGGCTCACAAGATCACAAAAGAAGTTCGACGAAGACGTCGCCACAGACTTGCGATCCGTCAACCTCCTCAAGACTATTGAGAAGGATTCGATTCACAAGAACAAGACGAATGAAGCATACCAAATGGTTGTAGCCGCTTGTAATGAAGGCATCTTAACATTAGCGGCAAATATATAGAGAGAAGGCTCTGACTCCGCTTCCTGAATGAAAGGGAAATCAAGACTGGATCAACACGACACAAGTGACAGACGACCCATAATTTTTTTTGCTGGTTTCACAGCGCCTTCACGCCGGGTTCACCGCCACAGCCAGCACCGGCCGGGTCCCGGCCACTCATTCTGACCCGGTAGTTGCCCGACCCGCCCCATCCAGTCCCAGTTGGTTCCCATCTGGCCCGCCAGCAATGGAGGTGTGAGTGGGCTTTTACAACAACCGCTCCCAGCGAACGAAGCCTGTGGTGTGATGTAGAATGACGCGGAGTGACGCGCCTTCGCGTCTACCCCCGTCCCACCCAATGAATGCGTCCACTTCATCCAAATCCTCCTCCTCTTCATCGTCGTTATCATCCAATGGCAATGTGTCTCTGAATATAAATCTACAACTATAAAATTGTTGGAACTCTTAAAACTATTTTTTAAATGGATTATTATATTTACAGAAATATAGATATACATTCACTTGCTCATGATTGCTTGGCTGAACATACGGAACTTATGGTAATTTATATTCCAGCTTTCTCTTGAGCTTTGAAATAAAAAGTTTACTTTGGTGATGGGGTGTATTCTCTACTGATCTATTTCCCACTTCTTTTCTTGTATCAACTTTCGTGATCTGATTCCATCAAAGTGAGGCCTCAGTGAAAGCATGAATTACAAGTGTATGGACAAGCCATCCTGTGCAATGAATATGTGTGGTTTCAAAGTGGGTGGAAAGTGTGGATGAGGGGTTGATAGAATGTGGGTGACTGGGACCATTTCCCCACCCACATTTTATCAGGGTTTGGTGCTTTTGCATAACTATGAGCCACCCTTTGCTTCCAACGAATTTGTAGGGCCCATTTCACTCTAGATGTCTTTTGACTAATTTGAAACAATTCTGAACCTATTCTCTTAAAAATCTCCACAGCACCTTCATGTGTTTTGTACACAAAGCCATAGATGATTTTTACAAAAGAATAAAACATTCTCATTTTACAAATGTGTATATGCAAAGATGGTTTCATAAAATCCCAACAACCCATACACTTTCCACCCACTGGGTGGGGGGGATTTAGAGGGGCTGTAGTCTCCCATGCAGCAGTCCCACTGATTGGAGATTGAGTGGGGTCAAGCAGCAACACCCTCGTTGAGAATTGTGTGGGCAAAGTCCCAAGAAGAAAATTTTGAATTTAAGCTTTGTATGAACCATATAATTTTGTAATCTTAATGTTCTGTTTTGGAACCCTAGAATTGCAAGTCATGTGTGTCTCTATCTTTGCCTTTCTTAATTCTTTTGTGTCCTAACTCCATTCTTCTCTCTCTTCCTAATTCTCTTTATCTTTTTTTATTTTTACTCTCTTATAATGAACCTTCTACCACCAAACTTGGAAAAATTGTATAACTCATAAGAAGAGCTGTTCAAAGATGTCTAAATCCATTCATTCAAACAAGCAACTATTATCAATTTAACCCCCACCCCTCCCTCCTCCTCCACCCCCACTCATCATAGGTGTCAAGCTCCACACAACAACAACTACCCAATCAAAGGCTTCTGGTTTTCTTAGAAGTGTGAATTGCATTCTGTTGATTATTTCATTAATATTCAACAATAAAGTCTTGTTTTTCCTTCAAATAAACTTTTGTATTCTTCAAATAATCTTCATTTTACTCTTTTAAGATTAAATAAGCTTTTTTTTTTATAATTCTGTCTAATTCTATCTTATGAATACTCTCTTATTACTTAGTGATAGTAATCTCGTACTTCAAGTTTAAAATACAGAATCTTATAAATTATTATTTTAATCATTACGTACTTTATATTCTAATTTTTTAAAATTTAGAAGGCTAACAAGGTTAAACTATATGTCATAAAAATATTGGTCCAATTCGATAGAAGATTTTAGAAATTTATTCTTGTAGATCTATTAAATTAAAAAATTAAAAAACATAAATATTAATTGATCAAGAATGTGGTGAATTTATCAAAAACTCATTGTAGAAAATAACTAAATACAAATCGTATATATAACTCTGGATATTTGGATACAAATAAAAAAAAAGCTATAAAGTTGTAGAATTCTTATTCGAAAATCTAGTGTGAAACCAAAATATTTTATCTGAAATATTTTCTAAAATAATGATAATATCAAAATTAGTTTGTCATAAGCCTACTAAATACAAATGTATCCACCAACTAATTCTGTTCAATCATACATATTTAAGACAAATAAAGAAATAAAGCTAACAACATAAAAAATTAATTAACTGGGACATAATAAATTAAACTTGATCTGCAAAATTTTCTTTATACAAGTAGAAATTTAAAATTAAATTTTATTAAATATCCATAAATAGAATCAAAATATTATTTTATAGGATCTTCATACATAAAATAATCTTGGGGTTTGCAGAATTAACAAGTATAAGAGTTTTAAAATCATCATATAATGAAATTTAAAATCATATAATTATATTTTATGAAAATTTTAAAATCCAGATCCTGTGTAGAATTAACAAGTATAAAGATTTTAAATTCAGATTTTTTAAGTATAGAATCTTTCAATAGATGATATCTATATATATATATATATATATATATATATATTTAAATGTTTATAAAATAAATAAATGAATAAATATGTACATATTTACACATAAACACACACACACACATGTATATATATATATATATATATATATATTATTTAACATTAAATTTTCCACGAAGTAAAAAAAAAAGTAAAAAAATATGGATTTCTTAAAGTAACAACCATATAATCTCAATTCATATTTGATTTTTTTATGTTTTTAATCATAAAAGGTTTTTTTAAAATAAATTCTAGTTAAAATTGAAAAATAAAAATAAAAAATAAAAGTTAAATAGAACTCAATTACCAAAATCTTAATAGACATGCTTTAGAAAAATATATCAAATGATAACTATTCTTATTATAAAAATATGTTTGTGATTTCTATACCATTTAAAGTATCCACTATTTGAATCATGTTCAATTTGTGTAATACAGTTTTAATTCAAAATTGAAATAAAGTCTAATTTTCACGTCTTTATCCAACATCCAATATCTCAAACTTATATTTTTTCAATCTTACTAGTAAAGTTAATACAAATATATAAGTTTAAAAAAACTATAAAAAATATATATTCTACATATATAATACAATAGAACTAATTTACTTGATTCCATACAAAGATTTAACTATACACTATATTCTAATAATTATATCAAATAATATCATGAGCTAATCAATTTTATTCTAAAACTTTTGTGAATAATACTCAACTATAGGATATTAAAGTATCTAATATAATTAAATACTAAAACATATGTAATTTTTAACTACTAATATAAATATAAATAAATATTAAATATTTTATTATACAAATGATTAAAAGAAATCATATCACTTTATTAAAATTAATTATTAATCTCTTTAGAATCAAAAATTTAAAACATGCTAATTAAATATATATATATATATTTAAAAATATATAAATATATATTATTAAATATTTATTATTAATAATTTATATATTTATATTATTAAAAAATTTAAACAAATAAATATTATTTTATTTATAATTTATAATTTATAATTAATTTATGAAATAATCATTACTAAAATATTACTAAATATTATGTTTTTTAAAATTAATAAATTGAAATATAAATAAAAATAAACATAATTTATAATTAGATTTATTAAGTATTATATATATATATATATATATATATATATATATCAAAAATAAATTATTTATTTTAGTAAAAATATAAAATCATGAAATATTTTAGATGATATATATATCTATATATATATATATATATATATATATATATATATATATGTTTAAATTCTTAATGCTACACACTCATATTATTAATGTGACACCTTTATAGAATTAGAACATGCGCATTGGAAATAAGAGACAAAAAATGAGAGACTACAAGTATAATTAATTATAAAAAATTTAAATTATTATCTAAAAGAAATCTATATATATATATATATATATATACAGTATTATTAATTAATTTTTAAAATTTTAAACAACTAATAAAAATATAAAAATTAAATTTTGATTTTAGTATTTTTAAAATATCATGAATTAAAATTATTTTTTAGATTATAAAAAAATTCTCAAATAATTATATATATATATATAATTTAAAAAAATAAATTTTAATTTAATAATAAACAAATAAATTTATATTTTATAAAGAACAATTTTATAGTATTTACATATAAAATTTTAAAGATTAATTATAGATTTCACTATTTTTTGGTAAAATATTATAATATCTAATTTCAAAAATATCTAAATCAACATCATCCTTTTATTTTGTAGACTTTCTACTTCTGTTGTTGTGCTTTGAAGGTTGCAAACTATCTAGTTTTAAACAAATAGTTTAGTTTTGTAATGTTGATTTTTCTTTAAAAAAAGAATATGACCATTTTTTGTGAAAATTTTTATTTGACATAAGAGGTTGGGAAGTATCATCAACTAATTTGACTTGTGCATTTACTAAGTTTGAGATGGATGAGAAATTCATAGATGCTATAATATATGAAAACAAAAAAAAATTTGTAACTATTATAAATCTTTATAACTTTATCAATATTTTTTGAGTAAAAATTTCATACATCACCAATGCCAACTACATAAGTACTATATATACACATATAATAGAAATCTAGAGTCCATGCTAAAAAGTTGTGTAATTGAAAGAAGTAAATAGATTAGTGTTATAATTAAATTCATGAAGTCTAGCTTTTATGAGCATGAGGAAGGTAAAGATTAATATGTCCAAGAATTTTGATAGAACAAGATCAAATTTTCAAGGATTTTTGTAACAAATCAAGCTCTATTTAAGGTTGTATCTTTTCTAATATCTCGATGAACTTACTTAAGTAGGATTCATAAGCGCACTTCTTTTAAAAAATTCTTTCTTATGATTTGTATTTTTTATGGAAAAAAATTTATGACTATTCTATGATTTAAATT